CGGCAACCCACCGGGTTGGCTATGTGCAACCCGGCGGGTTGGCCGAAAAAAATAAAAAAATAAAAAAATTTATTTTTTTTTTCAAATTACCCCTTTACCCTTGAAATATAGCCGTTGGAGGGGTCTTTTTCGTCATTTTTCTTTACCATTTTTTCCTATAAATTGACCCTAAACTCTCACATTTTTCTCACAACTCAAATTCTCTCATTCTCTCATATTCTCTAATCTCTAATCTCTCAAGTCTCAATTATTCATTTATTAGTTTTTGCAATTTGCTCATATTTTAATTTTTATTAGTTTTTGCAATTTTTAATTCATATTTCCAATTTTCTAAATTCCAATTTCCATACTCCAATTCTCTTTCTTTAATTTTTATTTCTTCTACATCAATTTATTTTTTCAACTACAATGGATAGATATTCTCTACCATCAATTACAATGATGACGAGGCAATAATTATTGTAATTTCTTATTTTATTTTTTAATAAATGAATAAATTTAATTATTCTTATATTACAATTTTAATGTATTAAAATTGAATTAATATTTGGAATGTTAACAAAAAAAAATTAATTTAATTTAATTATTGATATTTGAAAAGAAATTAACAATTAACTAAAAACAATTACATTTATAAATTGTTAATTATTCATTTGAAAAGTTAATTAAACATTTAAACTTAAACAAAATAAAACAAAACAAAATTAAAAAAAAAAAAAAGTCAAAAAGCGGGTTAACCCGGCCCAACCCGCGCCTAACCCGGCAGGTTAGGGTTGGCGGTCTGAGTTGGGCCAGCCAATTCTCTAATGTTGGCGGGGCTAACCTGGCCCGCCAATGTCGTCGGGCGAGTCAAGACCGACCCGCCATTTGCAGCAACCCCGCGCAGGCCGGGCCGGGCGAGTTGCTTTTCCACCCTTATTCCTGAGGAGTGAGGATGGTGGAGTTCAGTCGGTCGGTCGGTCTGGTGGAATGGAGATCCAATACTTGGTTCCTGGGGAGTGAGGATGGTGGAGTTGAGTCGGTCGGTCGATCTGTCGGGTGGAGTGGAGATCCAATACTTGGCTCCTAGAGAGTGAGAATGGTGGAGTTGAGTCGGTCGGTCAGTCGGTCAGTCAGGTAGAGTGGACATCCAATACTTGGTTCTTGGGGAGTAAGGATGGTGGAGTTGAGTCAGTCAGTCGGTCGGGTAGAATGGACATCCAATACTTGGTTCCTAAGGAGTGAGGATAGTGGAGTTGAGTCAGTCCGTCAGTCGAGTTGAATGGAGATCCAATACTTGCTTCTTGGGGAGTGAGGATGGTGGAGTTGAGTCAGTTGGTCAGTCAGGTAGACTGGACATCCAATACTTGGTTCCTGGGGAGTGACGATGGTGGAGTTGAGTCGTATGCTTGTGTTCTGATTTTGGTGCAGCCTAGTGGTTGAGTCGTGTGAACTCTTTATTGGGCTGGGTCGATGACTTGTCGATTTTGAGGTGTAAGAACCCTTCACTCGGTCTGGCCGACTGAATGTGTAGCTTCATGAACCAGGCAGGGCCGATCGAAGGTGTGGATCCATGAATCGGGCAAGACCGATCCGGAGATGAAACTGTGGATCGAGCAGGGTCGATTCAAAGGTGTAAATTCATGGATCGGGCAGGGCTAATCCGAAGGTGTAAATTCGTGGATCGAGCAAGGTCGATCCGAAGGTGTAAATCCGTGGGTCGAGCAAGGTCGACCCAGTAGTGTAAAAAATCCATAAATCAAGCAGGGTCGATCTGAAGATACAAATCCGTGGATCGAGCAGGGTCGATTTGAAGGTGTAAATCCGTTGGATCGAGCAAGGTCGATCCAAAGGTGTAAATCCGTCAATCAAGCAAGGTCGATCCGAAGGTGTAACAAACATTTGATCGAGCATGGTCGATCTAAAGATGCAAATCCATGGATCGAGCAGGGCCAATCCGAAGGTGTAATTACGTGGATCGAGTAGGGTCGATCCAAAGATACAAATCCGTGGATCGAGCAAGGTTGATCCGAAGGTGTAATAAACATCTTCAGATCGAGCAAGGTCGATCTGAAGATATAAATCTGTGGATTGAGCAGGGTCAATCCGAAGGTGTAATTACGTGGATCGAGCAAGGTCGATCCGAAGATGCAAATCCTTGGATCAAGCAAGGTCGATCCGAAGGTGTAATAAACATTTGATCGAGCAGGGTCGAGCTGAAGATGTAAATCCGTGGATCGAGCAGGGTCGATCCGAAGGTGTAATTACGTGGATCGAGTAGGGTCGATCTGAAGATGTAAATCTGTGGATCAAGCAGGGCCGATCCGAAGGTGTAATTATGCGGATCGAGTAGGGTTGATCCGAAAATGCAAATCCGTGGATCGAGCAGGGCCGATCCGAAGTGTGAAAGCTCATGAATCGGGCAGGGCTGATCAAGGGTGTCAGTTGCTGAATAATGCTTCATTGAATTCAGGCCATGAGACCGACTGTCTATGAAGGCAGTGGATAGGCCCACTCATCCTTTTTAAATAAAAAATGAAAAGACAACAAATATTTAGATTGATTTCACCTAAAAGTAGTAGCATATGGGATGGATTGCGTTCCAACTGTTGCTGATGTCTTTGCCTTTGGGAGTTTGGAGTAGGTAAGCACCCTTCCCTACTTCTTTGGTGACCTTATAGGGCCTACAATCGATCTAAGCTCTGGCCTCCTATCGTTCTGCATTCAGTCATACCTGGCGTGAATTGCCTGATTCATCTCATCTTCCTCCCACCTTATTTGAATCGTTGCTCTGGCCAAGGCGTCTTCCATCGTGCTGCAACCTAGCTTCGTCAGTTCTTTGTATAGTTCACCATCCGGAGGAGACCTTTTTTGAAGGCGTCTACGGTTGTCTCAGGGTTACAAGAAGGGATGGAAATCTTCTCTTTGTTGAATCTGCTGACATACTCTCTCAATGGCTCTCCCCTCCTCTGGTATACTCTGTATAGATCGACCGATAGCTTCTCGAGTTTCTTGCTGCTGGCGAACTGCTCCACAAAGGTGTCGGTGAGCTGAGCGAATGAGTCGATGGAACCGTTCGGGAGATTTGTGTACCACTAGAGTTCTGGACCGGATAAGCTTGAACCAAAACTCTTACACATGCAGGCTTCCCTCAGCGCTCAGGGTATTGAAACAGTGAACATCCGTTGCTTGTACGAGGCTATGTGATCATTTGGGTCGATTGTGCCGTCGTAGGGTTTCATGCTGGGAATAGTAAACTTTTGGGGCATGTCGGCTAGGGCGATCTCGTCCACAAAGGGTGAATCCGCGTAACAGTGAGGCCTACTCTTCTTGGTCGGGACCGACATTCCTGGGATGCACCTTATCACTACCTCTACATCAGCCAGCCTCTTGGCCAGTACCTATTCCATAGGAGAGGGGGATACCACTAGGTCATCCCGTTTGACTGGGTCAACCATTACATTCGTCCTTGTCATATTCCATTGGGTCATCCAGCGCAGTGTAGTCTGGTGGATCATTCCTTCGTGCACACCCTGGTAGCCCGGATCTCCGTTCATTCCCTCCAGTCGGATGACTCCCATGGTAACTGAACTGGTGTTTTGCCCTACATGAATGGTCAGGGGGGTTGTTTGATATTCGTTCGGTCCGTCAGGATGGGTGGGCTTGAGTGCTATAGTTTGGTTGGGTTGGCCGTTCAACCCGTGAGGGTGAGCCGAGCTGAATGGTGTTCCTATTTTTGTTGGCATCTACGCTCAAAGCATGCAATTTCTTCTAAGCGTCATTCCAAACGCTGGAATCTAAGATCTATTCATTGCACCAAAGCTCTCAACGCCAACCTTTGCAAGGTCTCAGCTCCCTGATCTTTGTCATGAGAAGCGTTGTCGCCTACAACTTCATCACCTGCCATTAGATCAAATGAATTTTGCCTGCTCTGATACCAACTGACGCAGTGAGTTAGCGTGATAAAACAAGGCAGCACTCGACTACACCTTTAGAAATGATAACACAAGTCTCAGTCTAGAAACCAAATCTGAATAATTTATTGAATATTATATATCTTCAAAAGAAACAAATAATATGTTTATATAGGGTGGTTACGGCCAATCCTAACAAGACTCTAATTAACAAGAAAATAAAATCCTACGTAAACTCGAAAACTAATTAAAAAAAGAAATCCCAACCGTTGACTAATTATAAAATAAGAAAGTAAAATTTAACTAAATTAAAACTTCCTCAATCAACTATACTCCTAATTAAAATTGAAAACTACTTGAATTCCTAATATGAAACCCTAAATAAATAAGAAAATCAAATAAAGAAATGGAAACAAAAATAAATCCCAATTAAATCCTAATTTAACACTATTTTCCCTACATTAAGTCCAGCGGTAAGGGTGAACCAAGGAGGCTATGTATGGCTTCAACCCACAATCTTAGATTCGATTCCCCACTGGGAGGCCACAATCCTAGGTTCGATTCCCAACTGGGGTGCTGCGGCGGTGGGTTTATGTGGGATAAAGTTTTATTATCTGTAAGCAACGATTCATGTTTTTGTTTAAAATCTTCAACTTTACTGTGGTTGCCATGACTGATTTTAGCGTGTATGAGTAAGAGGTAACTCAATGGACACATAGCAAAGCTATTAATAGCCGATCCATTGCATAGGAAGAGAACAGTTGGTAATGTGGAACCTGCAGGTCAATGGTAGAAATTTTCCTTGCTCAGGACAATTCGAATCATGGTACTGGAAATATAGAAAAGAGCTCATCATGAATTAAATCTTGGGGCACTAAGAATAATCCCTGATATGGCCTGTAGGCTATGGAAGAAATTGCCATTATGTAGAAAGTTGAGTTTTCTGTACTGGAATGAGGGTAACAGTTAATTAAATCTTAAGACACTACTCCAAACTTCATTTATTTTTTTCCATAAACTTCAGAAATGTAAACGAAAACACATAATTCAATTCACAGGAGTGTTAAGCAAACATAACTTGCATCATTTATTCATCAAATAGTTGCAATGCTGAAACCGGACAATAAATTTTCTGTTAAACATGCTGCAGAGTAGTGACAAGTTATAGATTTCAATTATCAAACTCCATCAATGATTCCTACTCCCCACATAGAATGTATTTTAATTAGACACATCAATGTCCTTGAGTTCTTTCTTCAAAAGGAAGACAGAAGTAAGAGTTGCATCTGATTGCAAGGAAGCCCCCAACAGCTCCAGGACCTGAAATGGAAAGAAAATCATTATAAACCTAAAGATGTATTTTCAAACTGAAGTTTTAACGGATTAGGACCGTAATATTCCCACCAAAACACTTCAGACCTACTATTTCATTGATTGCAGAACCATATTATTAATCAACATACCATCATTTTGAACCATTGTTTCTCAAGACTAAACAGAATTTAAACAATACAAATAAGCCCGAGATGAACTCCTTACCTCATCAGCGCCAAATTCAACAACTCTTTTCTCCAGGGCACCAATATCCTTAACATTTTCCTGTATCAGATCAATGCTAGATATCATTGACCCAGGTGTCACTAACAAGTCATCTGTCACCATATAAGTAACCAATTTATTTACAATACCACCCTCACAAACTGAATCCATCCTCAACAAGCTGACCACTTCGTAAGACATAGAAGAACCACAGTGAGGACAACGTTTGCTAGTTTCATCTGACACACACCGGCAACGGTTAGAACAATTGTAAATTTTTTTCTGATTTGGTTGTGAACTACCTCCGGGCACCAGCAAGGCAGAAGTTTTCTCTTGGGTTTTCAATAACTCAAGTTTGTTTTGATTAGGTTGCAAGTAATCTTTATTCAGGTTTTCAAGGCTCGGGTACAGATTTCCGATGCAGCCAACCATGTTTGCGTCGCGGAGAAGCTTGATGACAGTTCCTAGTTTCAAAGAGAGGAGATTGAACAGAACGTCCACGAAATCTTTTCCGGCTTCTGCAAAGAGGACTTTCTTTGCTCCTTTGTCTATCATTAACTTCAACGTTAACTTGTTTGGGGGTGTGGTGGTTGTTGCCATGATTGATAATTGTCCACACAGAGAAGAGAAACAGTGGACAAATAGGGAAAAAAAGATTTGTAACACACAAAGTTTGGTTCCCCTTCCTGCATGCCATTAATATTTTATATATGAAGTGACATAGATGTTTTTTTATTAATATAAAATCGAATACTCTCTTTAAATTTCATTAAGTTTGGTACTACTTTTTCTTTGTTTAATTAGGACATCTAGAATCATATATAATATTATGAATTGTTCCCCCCATTCATAATTCATTCCTTCGCTTGGCCATGGGATTAATTACCTTGCTTAAGAATATTTAAACACTGGGAATGACGCCAGGAAAAGTCCAAGTTAAATCTTGGAATCAAAAATTTCTTTCGTTTACTTCCAGCTCATATTAATGAACTTGCATATATAGAAGTCAATTGATTCTATCATCATTTCAACAAGTAAATTAACAGTAGATTAAGTGAGCATAATATCCTTCCTTAATACATCAAAGGGTTGTTTGTGATATCAGGTGCAATGCAGAAACCACGAAACATATATATACTTGTTCTGTTTAACAAAAGGGGTAGTGATTTTATAGTTTTCATGTCAAACTCCACTGAAAAGACAAATTTTTTAATTTTTTCTATTTTTTTATAATTTGGATGTTCGGACCAATTTGTACATACTTCAACTAATCCGTGAGATCTATTAAACAACGTACAAGTCTAATGTTCTAAATAAGTCACATTGTTTGAACCCAGTAAGTCAGTAAAAAGAACAAACAATCTTGATCACCAAGCCAACTTTTTGGGGTTAAAAAAAAAAATACACTGGTTAGTGTGAAAAGACAAATTTCATATTCTTGTAATTTTGTTTGTGAGAGTTTAGGTTGAATTTTGACATCATATGACATATATTAAAATCCTAGTTTATGGGCACAAATTCACATTAAAAGATGATTTTTTTGGCATATTATACAAAAATAGTAAGTTAATCAAAATTTCATCTTTTAGTATTTATTTGAAATAATAATTACCATTAACAAATCTTTTAAATATCGAAAGTCTGCATTATATATATATATATATATATCCCCAAAATTAAATGATATTTAAAAATCTAGGTTGTCATGTCATAACATCTCCAACATTGATTAGTAATTGCTTAATCTAAAGATTATAAATTGATATTAAAAAAAAAAAAAAAAAATTATGTGATTGTAAGTATGCGTTGATCTTGCCTTACATTTATCACATTAAGTTTACATAAATTCCATTTAGTAGTAATAGACTTCCACATAATTAAGATAAAAACACTTCCACCAAATAAGCAACGATTCATCTTTTTGTTTTATAGTGTTTATAAGTGGATCTTAAAATCATAAATGTCCTTAAAGTTGTAGTTAATATAAGTACAAATATTATTCTATAAGCTAGTTTCAGGAGCATTTTAAGAAGGTAATAATATACTTTTATTTATCAATATTATAACTTTGGCAGAATACTACCAAATAACAATGGTAAGATTCACCTATTTGCTTCCACACCAAAGCACGACTGCAGTACATTTATTAAGATGTGGAATACTGCTAACTACACTATTCCAGCCGAGTCCAGTTCGAGCTTCTCAATACTAGGCTGGGCAGGCTGGGATCAGCTCCATTAATAAGGTTCTGATTGTGCACAAGGTGGGATCGAGTGCATTAAAGGCTCTCTACTGTGATACAAATGCTGCGGTGCTTGCAGCTCCATTGAAGCCTTTCTGCTGTGATACGAACGCCACGATGCTTCCGGCTCCATTAAAGTCTCTCTGCGGTGCGGTGTTTGTTGTACTGTGCCCTGATACAAACTTGTTAAGACTTCTTTGCATTCCAATGATAACTTCAGCAGCCTTAGACCCTAACAAAGGAGATAGAAACTTAGCATCATGCCCTGTTTTAGTATATGCTGCGCCGGAAAAAGGTAGCCGGAACGCAAGAAAACTCTCACCCAGCGCAGGGCATAACCTGCGCCGTATATTCCGTTTGTGACTGGATAGTGAAATTGTCATATGTAAATTGTTGATATGTATTTATAGACAATAGCAAAAGGGGAAAAGAAATGGACTTACCTCATCAGCCCCCAGTTCCACATCCATCTTTTCAAGTTCATCAATTTCGACGTTGGACTTGTTAAGCAAAGAAAATAAATTTTCAGGAGAAATAGGCATAAACTCCAAATCATCCGTCACCATGAAACTCACAAAACTCTTAACAAATCCTCCTTCAACCAGCCCAGTGTTCTCAAGCGACGGAGGAACATAATACAATGGGCCGGTCATTTTCTTGTTGCACGAAGGACAAAGCAAGTTTGGAACATCAGTTATGTTATGATAATGAGAGGGGCAAGAGTATACCATACGAGTGTGCGAATCATAATCACAAAGCAAAAGAGGGACTCCTGTGGCTGCAGATCTTGGAGCTCTAGGATTTAATAGTGAATTCTTGGTTTGGTTTGGTTGGAAGAAGGATTCACTGAGATTTTCAACGCTTTTATAGAGGTTACTTAGGGAACCCACCGTGTCTATCCCTTTTAAGAGCCTAGCCACAGTACCCACTGGCAAAGAAAGAAAGTAGACCAGAAAATCAATGAAGTCTTTGCCGGCTTCTGCGAAAATAACCTTCTCAGCCCTTGTGTCAACAAAAAGCTTCAACTTTACTGTGGTTGCCATGGCTGATTTTAGCGTGTATTAGTAAGAGATGACTCAATGGACACATAGCAAAGCTATTTATAGCCGATCCATTGTGTAGGAAGAGAACAGATGGTGATGAGGAGGAATCAAATATTTGTTGCAGGTGAATGGTATAAACTTTCCTTGCTCAGGAATTTCGAATTTTGGTACTGGGAATTTAAAAAAGAGCCTGTCATGAATTAAATCTTGAGGCACTAGGAATAATCCTTTACTTGGCTTGTAGGCTATGGAAGAAATTGCCTTTATGTAAAGTTTAAGTTCTCTGTACTGGAATGAGGCTTCCATAAACTTCAGAAATGTAAAGGAAACACATAATTCAATTCACAGGCGTGTTAAGCAAACATAATTTGCATCATTTATTCATCAAATAGTTGCAATGATGAAACAGGACAATACATTTTCCGTTAAACATGCTGCAGATTAGTGACAAGTTGCAGATTTCAATCAAACTCCATCAATGATACCTACTGTCACGTTTGACCTAAGCCCAAGTCCATATAAGACCCAATATTCAATTCTAAAAGGCTTGATCCAGACTTGACCTAGAAACATCAAAAAATATGTAAAAGAATATCTTTAAAATCTTCTAGAATATTCCTTCACAAAAAAGGAAACATAATAGGATTAGGATTCTATTTCTTGTCACTTAATCCTAGCCATTCATCCTAATGGATAAATCCCATATAAAGTTAGCTAGTGGTATTCAATTGAGAGTCATACTATAGAGTTTTTCTCTCCATCTTTGTTCTTTGGGTTCTTATTTCTCCTTGAGAGTTTGTGGGTATTCAAGCTTACCTAGTGTTCGATCTTGTAGCACTACTCCCCACAAAGGAATTTTAATTAGTCACATCTGAGTTCTACTAAGAGCTGCCTCAACAACTGCAGGACCTCAAATGGAAAGAAAATCATTATAAACCTAAAGATAAATTTTCAAACTAAGTTTAAACAAATTAGGACCGTAATATTCCCACCAAAACACTTCAGACCTACTATTTCATTGATTGCAGAACTGTATTAGTAATCAACATACTATCAGTTTGAACTTTGAACTGTTGTTTCTCAAAACTAAACAGAATTTAAACAATACAAAGAAGCCCCCATAGATGAACCCCTTACCTCATCACCGCCAAATTCAACAACTCTTTTTCTCCAGGGCACCAATATTCTTAACATTTTCCAGTATCAGATCAATGATCATTGACCCAGGTGTCACTCAAGTCATCTGTTGAATCCATCTTCCACAAGCTGCCCACTTCGCAAGACATAAAAAGACCACATTGAGGACAACGCATCTGCCACATACTGGTGATAGTGACCACAATTGTGAAACTTTTTCTGCTTTGGTTGTGAACTAGCTCCAGGCACCAGCAAGGCAGAAGTTTTCTCTTAGGATTTCAATAACTCAAGCTTGTTTTGATTAGGTTTGGGAGCCCACCATCTTATTCTTTGTTAAGAGCTTCATGATGGTTCCAACAGGCAAATAAAGAAGGTAGAAGAGAAAATCTACGAAATCTTTGCCAGCTTCAGCTAAAAGGACCTTGTTATCCTTCTTGTCAATTATAAGCTTCAAATTTGATTTGGAAATGGAGTGTGCCATGGCTGATTTCAGAATGAATTGGGAAGATGACAATATGGAGACATGATAAAACTATATATAGCCAATCAAAAATGGATATATGCTGCACGCCAACAAGTAAACCTTTGTTAACAACATTTAGATTAGAATCATTGTTCTCTGCTATTCTCCATACATTCCTTTACTTGTCTTTTAGGTTATGAAATCAATTACCTTGGTTAACAACATTTAATATTCTTTCCAACTGGGAATGAGGCAAGCAGAAATTGACTTGTATCTATCATTAACTTGCATCTGCAGGATTCAGTCTGTCATCTTAACAAGAAGTAAATTATATGTAGATTACGCAAGCATATTACCCATCATTAATACATCTAAGGGGTTGTTTGGAACACCAGCAGCAATCCAGAAACAGTAAAATACATTACTTATTTAAACAGAGAGGGATAAGATAATCTATAGCCTTGTGTCAAACTATTCCATTTGAATCAGCCACTGCAACATCCTCGGCCCCTTTGTTCCTGAGGAAGACAGAAGTAAGACCTCCAGTTGACTGCAAAGAAGTCTTCAACAGCTCCAGAACCTGATATTTAATAAAAATGTGATGACGAAGAAACCCCAGTTAATCTATACTGCAGCAGAGCCTAATTACTAAAGGTTTTAAAATGCTGAAGAAAGTTCATTTATGGTCTTTTTTCATGTAACCATATGCAACGCTTATCTTAATGATTAGCTCCAACCCAGTTTAGGCCATCGCTTACACTTTTTTAATTAAAAAGTTAAAAAATTATTTCACGATACTGAAATCAAAATTCAAATAATAGAAAGAAGCAAGACAAGAATTTCTTACTTCCTCTCAGCCAAATTCAACAATTCTTTTCTCCAGGGCACCGATATCCTTTACATTCTCCTGTAGCAGGTCGATGCTAGATATCATTGACCAAGGTGTTACAAACAAGTAATCAACATACTATCAGTTTGAACTTTGAACCGTTGTTTCTCAAAACTAAACAGAATTTAAACAATACAAAAAAGCCAGAGATGAACTCCTTACCTCATCACCGCCAAATTCAACATTCTTAACATTTTCCAGTATCAGATCAATGATCATCGGCCCAGGTGTCACTCAAGTCATCTGTTGAATCCATCTTCAACAAGCTGCCAACTTCGCAATACATAAAGAGACCACATTGAGGACAACGCATCTGCCACATACTGGTGATAGGTACATAAAAAAGGTATAATATTCTATTCATTCACTCATCTTTTACAGAATACAAGAGTACGCTTATAAAGTCTGTACAGAGAAAACTATTCTAGGAAGGTAGTTACTACCATTCATAAATCTCGGCTAGAATTACTGTTAGTCCATAATCAGTGGACACCGAATAACAAATGGAAAGAATCCCTGTAATCTCTCCACAAGATCCTCTGTTAACAACTCACGCCAACACCCCTCCTCAAGTTGGTGCATGGATGTCTCCAATGCCCAACTTGTCTAGTGAGTTATAAAATACCTTGCTTGAGACAGCCTTTGTAAGAATATCTGCCAGTTGTTCTTCCGATTTTACAAAAGGAAACTGAACTATCTTAGCTTCAAGCTTTTCCTTGATAAAATGCCGGTCCACTTCAACATGTTTTGTTCAGTCATGTTGGACAGGGTTTTGTGCAATCTCTATAGCCGCTTTATTATCACAAAACAGATTCATTGCAGAACCAGATGAATAGCCAATTTCTTCCAGTAGTCTATTTAGCCAAAGAAGCTCGCAAAGTCCTTTAGCCATGCCTCTAAACTCAGCTTCTGCACTAGATAGTGCAACCACCTTTTGTTTTTTGCTTCTCCAAGTAACTAGATTACCACCCACGAAAGTGAAATATCCTGATGTAGATTTTCTGTCGTTAATACTCCCAGCCCAGTCAGCATCCGTGTAACCATCAATATTTAAATGATTATATTTCCTGAACATGAGTCCTTTTCCTGGGGAAGACTTCAAGTACCGTAAAATTCGGAGCACAGCATTCATGTGATCTTCACTAGGATTATGCATGAATTGACTCATCAAACTCACTGCATAGGAAATATCCGGTCGTGTATGGGACAAGTATTTTAGTTTTCCAACAAGCCGTTGGTACCTTTCTCTATTCGTGGGTATTTGGTTTGAGTGTTCTCCCAATCCATGATTTTGAACCATTGGCGTGTCTGCAGGCTTACAATCAAGCATTCCTGTTTCGGCTAGCAAATCAAGTACATATTTCCTTTGTGATAGAAATATGACTTGATTTGACCGAGCTACTTCAATACCCAAAAAATATTTTAATCCCCCAAGATTCTTCATTTCAAACTCGGTTGCCAGATGCTTCTGCAAACTAGAGATTTCCTCCTCATCATTTCCTGTAATTATCATATCATCAACGTAAATTATTAAAGCCGTTACCATCCCTTGTCGATGCTTCAAGAACAGAGTATGATCCGAGTTGCTCTGTTTGAACCCATGCTTCCTCATAGCCAAGCCAAATCGTCCAAACCACGCTCTAGGTGATTGCTTTAGTCCATAAAGTGCCTTTTGCAGTTTGCATACCACTCCGGTTTGTGATGAGGTAGTAAGGCCTGGTGGAATGTCCATGTACACTTCTTCGGCTAGATTCCCATGAAGAAACGTATTTTTTACATCGAACTGATGTAGAGGCCAATCTAAGTTTACAGCGAGAGACATCAATACTCTGACAGTGCTCAACTTTGCTACTGGTGAAAATGTCTCCTGATAGTCTATACCATATGTCTGAGTATATCCTTTCGCTACAACTCTTGCCTTGTATCTCTCTATTGACCCATCTGCCTTGTGTTTAATGGAGAACACCCATCTACATCCCACTGTTTTCTTTCCTTTGGGTAATGACACAAGCTTCCAAGTATCATTTTTCTGCAAAGCTGTCATCTCTTCAGTTATTGCTTGGATCCATTTGGGGTCATTCAAGGCCTCTTGTACTGTACTCGGAACATGCTCAGAAGATAACTTGTACACAAAAGCTTTAAGGGGTTGTGATAATTTCTGGGTGCAAACATAGTTCGCAATCGGATACTTCGTCTTCTTTTCTCCATGGTCTGGTGAGTATCGATTTGGTGGTTGACCACGGTTGTACCTGAACGGTAATTTGTAGCCAACAGAATCATCTATAGTATTATTGAGAGAAGGGTTTAGAGATTGTACCTCAGGAGTATTCTCAGGAGAGTGATCGTTTGGTACTAACGTATGAGGAGAGGGCTGGTCTTGCTTAGTGAGTTGATCTTGATCTTGCTCTAGAAGTGGGAGAGTTCCAACCACATCAGTTCCAACTAGATTAGTGTCATGCCTTGGTTGAGTCCCAACCAGAACAGACGGTAGTTGAGATGGCTGAGTTTCATCAATTTGATTTATCTCCAAATTTGTATCTTCAAAGCCTGGCCAGTTCTCCCAATTGTCCACATTCTGTTCTTCACATAACAGCTCCCCCTGAAGAGAAGAATGGGGACCTTGATTTGGAAAGAAAGTCTCAGATTCAAGAAAAGTGACATCCATTGTGGTATAAAGACGCCTGGTAGTAGGATCATAACACCTATAGCCTTTCTTATGTGCTGCGTATCCCAGAAAAACACAACGAATAGCACATGGGTCAAGCTTTGTTCGCTGATTTTTATGCAGATGAGCATAAGCAACACAACCGAATATGCGTGGCGGAAGCATCAAGACAGATGGCAATGACACATGATGAGCAAGAGCTTGTAGTGGAGTTTCAAAGTTTAAGACTCGAGATGGCATTCGATTTAGCAAGTAAGCAGCAGTGCCAACTGCATCTGCCCAATACCGTTGGGGTGCATGTGCTGCTGTTAGAAGGGCTCGAGTGTTTCGAGGATATGCCTATTTTTTCTCTCCGCAACACCATTTTGTTGTGGTGTTTGAGAACAAGTGGTTTCATGATAAAGGCCATGTGCTTGGAAGTATTCTCGCAACTCATTATTGTCATACTCTCCGCCATTATCAGATCTAAGAATTTGAAGTTTAGCAGAAAATTGTGTCTTGATCATATTATGGAAAGAACGAAAAATTCCAAACACCTCATTCTTATTTTTCATCACATACAGCCAAGTCATACGTGTGCAGTCATCTACAAAGATCACAAACCATCTAACCCCTGAAGAAATTAAGATGGGAGCCGGACCCCAAACATCTGAGTGAATTAACGTAAATGGGGTCTCACATTTTTTTAAACTTATGGGATAGGATACACGATGACTCTTGGCTAGAATGCAAGTTTCACACCTAAAATTAGACTCATGTAAATTAGAAAACAAACTTGGAAACAAACGCTTTAAGTAAGAAAATGATGGATGCCCCAGTCGACGATGCCACAACCAAATCTACTTCGACGCATAGTATTTGCCCGGCCGAAGTCGAAATCATCCATGTAGTACAACCCTCCTCTTTTAGTACCACGACCAATAATCTCCTTGCTGAGAATATCCTGGAAAATACAGAAACTTGGATACATTAGTGCACAACAATTCAGTTCTTCAGTAGCTTGGCCTATAGATAATAATTTATTCGAAAGAGATGGAACTAATAAAGTATTTGATAGTGAAAGAAACGGTGAAAGTGCCACTCTTCCAGCCCCTGTAACTGGGTATGTCACTCCATTAGCATTGGCAACGCACGTCCGTTTTTGTTGAGTAGTTTCGACAAAATCTTGTGGATCAAATGTCATGTGATCGGTTGCCCCTGAATCAACAATCCAACCATGGTTACCTGGATCATTAAAGGCCACGGATTTGTTTGCAATAGCAGGAAAGGAGTCCTCTTGTGGTACAAGGGATAGCTGAGATTCAGTGTTCATGAGTGCGGCTCGGCCATGAGTCTCGCCTGTGCCAACATCACGCTTCTTTTTTGTCTTGAGTTCATGCCACCACTCTGGATATCCATGTAGCTTAAAACAGGTGTCTCTGGTATGTTTCATATTCCCACAGTGTGTGCAACCCCCTCCCTCTACTTGTGACTTTGACTTTGTTGATGGGTTAAGCTTTCCATTGGACAAAATCTGAAGTGACAGTAGGTGCTGGGATTTCTGTCCGCCTTTTGAGAGCATAACAGCACTAGGCGTGGTATCTCCTTTTGTCAACATTACTGCTTGCCTGAGATCTTCCCTGCGAACATGTGCATAGGCCTACTCTACCGTAGGAAATGGCTGAATTTGAAGCACATCTCCTCGAATCTTGTCAAGACGATCATCTAGTCCATCCAAGAATGTATAAACTCTATCCTCCTGTAAAATAGAATTATACCTCTGTATATCACTTTCGCATTTCATCGAATTCGGTCGACGAAAATCGATTTCTCTTCATAGACCTTGAAGATTGTTGTAGTATGTCTCGATAGATCCTCCGCCTTGTTTGAGCCTTGTTACCTTCCTCTTGAGATCATAAACTTGCGAGGTGTCGGTGCCATCAAAATACGTTGTAGCGATAGCGTCCCATACTGCTTTCGCAGTTGGGAATCTGATGTAGTTTCCGATCAGTTTTGGATCCATTGAATTAATCAGTCATCCCTTCACCACTGCGTTTTCAGTTCTCCATTTTCTAAAAGTAGGATCACTCTCTTGGGGTTGTGGAAGATCCCCATTTATATATCCCAACTTGTCTTTGCCTGAGATGTACATCTCAACAACCTGGGACCAAAGTCCATAATTGGTGTCATCCAACTTGAGGCCAATCGGTGGTGCACCAACAGATTCGTAACCCAGTGAGGCTGGTGTCTGGTTCAACATTTGTGATATTTTGGAGGTCAAGTCTGCAAGAATTGGATTCTCGCCTTGGGAACTCTCTATTAAGGGAGTACTTTCTGCCATTGCCCTCAAAAAATTTCAGAGAGTCCTAGAACCACTGCTCTGATACCATGATAAAAAAGGTATAATATTCTATTTTATTCAGTCATCTTTTACAGAATACAAGAGTACGCTTATAAAGTCTGTACAGAGGAAACTATTCTAGGAAGGTAGTTACTACCATTCATAAATCTCGGCTAGAATTACTGTTAGTCCATAATCAGTGGACACCGAATAACAAATGGAAAGAATCCCTGTAATCTCTCCACAAGATCCTCTGTTAACAACTCACGCCAACAATAGGTACCACAGTTGTGAAACTTTTTCTGCTTTGGTTGTGAACTAGCTGCAGGCACTAGCAAGGCAGAAGTTTTCTCTTGGGATTTCGATAACCCAAGTTTGATTTGATTTCGGGTACAGGTTTCCGATGCAGCCAACCATGTTTGCATCGCGGAGAAGCTTGATGATAGTTCCTAGATTCAAAGAGAGGAGATTGAATAGAATGTCCACGAAATCTTTTCTGGCTTCTGCAAAGAGCACTTTGTTAGCTCCCTTGTCTATCACTAACTTCAACCTTAACTTGTTTGGGATGTTGCGGTTGTTGCCATGATTGATACTTGTCCACGCAGAGAAGAGAAACAGTAGGCAAATAGGGAAAAAAGATTTGTGACACTCAAGTTTGGTTCCCCTTCTTGCCTGCCATTAGTACTTTATATGAAGTGACATAGTCCATATGTTTTCTATTTGATATAAAATCGAATATTCTCTTTAAATTTCTCTCTCGTTTACTTCAACTATTAACTCTGCAAATGCAGGATTCGATTCAATCTCTTCACCAACAAAATTAAATATGTGTAATAAGCAAGTGGGGTGGGCGGGTTTGGGCCCGCCCAAATACAAAGGGACTGGAATTGGAACAGGAGGGTCCCTTGGATTTGAAAGCAAAACCGGAATCGAAACTAGTTGATTCCGGTTTCTAGAAGCCCGAAACCGAACTTGAAACATAGGTCTTAATTTTGGTTCTAGGTACCTGGGTTAATTTAATTACCCCCTATTTTTAGTAAAATGACAAATAAATCCGTTAAAAATTCAATACCCCCAAAAAATTTAAAAAATTACAATTTAGTCTCGATTCCTACCTGGATACCAAGATCTCGATTCCAGTTCCGACTCACGATTCCTATAGGGGTGGAACTAGAACCAGAATTGAAACTGGACAGTTCCTTGGATTTAGAACCAGAACCGAAACTGGCCGATTCCGATTCCTAGAAGCCCAGAACCGGAACATGAAACATAGGTCTTAATTCCAGTTCTAGGTACTTGGGTTAGTTTTAATTACCCCCTATTTTTAGGAAATGACAAATAAACCCTCTAAAAATTACAAATAGACACCCCATAATTTTAAAAAATTATAATTTAGTCTCAATTCCTACCCAGACCTCGGTTCTAATTCTGATTCATGCTTCTTGCAGGGATGGAACCAGAACCAGAATCGGAACCGACCGGTTCCTGATTTCTAGAACCGGAACTACCTTGTGATGGCCGATTCTGGGTAGGAACCAAAACCTGAACCCCAAGTAAGCACCGGAACCTGAACCCCAAGTACCCGTTGGTTTTGGTTTTCGGTTCCGGCTTCGGCCGGTTCTTTTGCACACCCCCATAAGCAAGTATGCTTTCCATCATGAATACATCAAAGACTCTGTTTGCAACATCTACTGGAATGGAGAAATAGGGAAATATTTATTTTAATAATCAAACAGGTATTGAATACAATTCATATCGATCAGTCACTGCAACACCCTTGAACAAGTTCTTTAGGGGGAACACAATAATGAGAGCTTCATTTGACTGTAAAGAAGTCTTCAGTAACTCCAGAATTTGAAATGTGCAATGTTGACAGCCTTATGATTCCTCATTTCCAAGGAAAACACTTGTTAGAACTGTCTTGCATTCCAAAGATGCCTGCAGGAGCTTCAGACCCTAACAAGAATGAATAAATACGAAGAAAGGTGACAAAGCAGTAACTTATATTAAAACCTTTTACAAGTTTGCCCGCATCTAATAACCAATTACAGGATACAGTTGATGATCTAAATACCTCATCCAAGCCGAAATCTACAAATCTCTCTTCAACTCCACGTAAATCCTTAACCTGAAACTTATTGAGCACAGTAACACAAGTTGTAGTAGACATAGGCATCACCTCCAAATCATCCATCACCATGTACGTCAACCCTTTAACAAAACCTCTCTCAACCGATGTCCCCTTATCTGCAGACACTGCAGAAACATAAGGTATCTCAATGCTCATTTCTTTCTCGCAATCAGGACACTTTATGTTTGGAACAGAAGCTACATTGTGATAGTCAGGACACAGGAATAACTTCCGATTAATTAATTCATGATCAGACAGCAGAACCTTGATTTTACTGTCACATGTACTACACTTGTATATCCCTCTAGCCATCAGTTCATCATCTGAAAGCAAAATGGGGATACGAGTGTCTACCGGAGGCCTGGGACTTAGCAGGAAGGCCTTCTCTTGATTTGGTTGGATGTAGCAATCTCTAAGCTTTTCAACGCTCTCATAGATGTTACCTAGAGAGCCCACCATCTTATTCTTTATAGCTGGAAGTGGATTGGGAAACAAGAAGTTATCCAATTGTTGTGAGCACGAGGTTATTTTGTGATGTTGATTGATAAAATAATTAGAAGGGTAATTTGAGTTACTCACGTAGTGTATAGTTGTGAAGTATGTTTTAAGCAGGGTTCCTGACATTATAAGGTACCGCCTGCTATATTAAAGTTCGGATGAAGTGTGAAGTTATTATGATTGATGTGGCCGAAATTTCGGGTCGATTTCAGGGTTTCTCTTGTAGAAAAACCGTTGGAAGTTGGTTCAAGGAAGGGATAACGAGGAAGTAGGCGGAGATTTGCCTTTTTTTATTTGAACTACGAGGCCGTGATTTGTTAGTTGAAAAATAAGAGTAGACGTGAATTGGGTGGTGAGGAGGACACCTGTAAGAGGTTGGTGATGGGGGGCAGAATAAAATGTTGAGGAGGAGGACTCCGTAGATGTCCCACAGATGTATAGATTCCTTTAAATACAGATTATGCAGAAGGCGTAGATTGTGAGGAAGTACACTATGGTCGTTTATGCAGGTTCAGTGGGGTCAATTGGAGGTAGTAGTGAATCAGCTTATTTTTTTAACGATGGATGGAGTTGCACATAGGGTATTTATTTGACAACAAAGAAGAAGTGGTAGGAAGCTAAACTTGTTGCTGTGAGAGGTAATTTTGAGTTCATCACACAAAGTCAAATTCATTACTGTGACAGTTGCATGTCGTGACCAAAAGTGCAAGTGGGGATTTATTATACAGGTTGGGCAGAGTCGGAAAAAATTATTCTTAGCACATACACCTGTGAGCACACTTGTGGTTTGGGACATATTTCAGTGAGCATCGACAAGCTCCGCTGATGTTATTGGACAATTTGTCAAAGTCGGTTCGTTGAAGGGAAAGTCATCTCCTAAAGACATTCAGAAACTTGTGCTCCAGATTTGGATTGTTTGTTTAGTTACTGGAAATGCTGAAAAGGGAGACAACATGCACAGATTTTATGAGGGGTACGCCGAGCACGGGTACGCAGTATTAGAAGCGTTACCGTTAATGCTTGAGTTAACAAACCAAGGTAGAAAGACGACTTTGAAGTGGGACAGGAATGATGTTTTAAATATTTTTTGTTGCTTACGGTAAGGGGTTTTTGTAAACATGAGAAAGGTGTGGTGTTTGATGGTGCTTTCTAATGGGAAAGTATGGAGGTACATTGTTTGTGCCACTGCATAGATGCGAGAATCACACATATCATGTTGCATGGTGTGTGGTTGACTCTGAGAATGACAAGTCATGGACTGGGTTTTTTCAACAATTACGTACGATAGTCCCTGAAGTGACGAGTTGTGCATAATATCTGATAGGCACAACTCTATAAAGACGGGATTGCCATTATTTACCGTCAAGCACATCACGGATTCTGTATGAGGCGCCTTGATGAGAACATAAAACAAAAGTTTAAGTGTACTGGCCTCCTTCAAACATAGTACATGGCAGCAAAAGCTTATCGGGTTGATGAGTTCGAGGAGCACTTCCAGCAAATCCGAATCAATGATAGAGTTGCTAAGTATCTTAGCATGATATTGGTTTCGAGCGATGGAGCAGAGCTTACTTTCTTGGAAGAAGGTTTGATGTCATGACCACGAATAAGCGGAGTCCATAAATTCGAAGTTGTTAATAGAAAAGAGAGTTTCCAATAGTTGCACTTTTTGATGCAATCCAGAAGACATTGTCACAGTGGTTCAATGAGCGTCATACGGAGTCAAATAATTTTACTACAACCCTTGTTCCGTTACTGAAAAATTATTGCGAGAACGTATGGAACTGTCAAATGCACTGTTTGCCTATCCTCTTAATGCTCAAGAGTTCCTTTGCACGGCTATGGTCGCGGATGCCCACTTTAACCTTGTTAGTAAACTTGCACTGTAAGGGCTTGACATTCAACGATTACTTGTCCTCATGCACTAGCCGCACTGAAACACACACGGAAGCCATTTTGGTTCAAGAATTTACATGGAACTTTGTCCCCTCTCTATATGGCAGATCACTACATGCTAGCTATTCAGAAACAATATATCCAATGCCTCCAGAAGAGCAGTGGGTAGTGCCGCCATAGTTGGCTGACATTATCATCCATTTGCCATTCAAGAAGACAATAAGGGAAGAAAAGAGTTAAGCGTATTCCATCAGCCTCTGAGGTTCCCCGGAAGTGAATAGTACTCAATTGCAAGCCACCTGGCCCAAGAGAAGCAGTTGCCAGAGTAATCACATGCAGATCCAAAAAATTAGATCTAAGGAAGGATGAAATTCAGGAGTTGCGAAGGCCACCGTTGATGATTTATTGTTTTCAATTATTGATGTTATAAATTGTTATTATTACCTTTAATAATCATTCTTTATATTTCTTGTTACATGGCCTAAATATTTGTTGGTGTTTTTAGTTTTGGAATTAGGTTGTCAAATTGAGGAGAAAGTATGGAATTAATACGTGTTGGTAATTTTAGTTTGTCAAAATTCAGGAGAAAAGCAGAAAAGTATATATTGCCTATGATCCTTAGCGACTAAGTATATCGCTTAAGCATATAAAGGGTTTTTCAAACAGATTGCTTAAGCGATCCACGATCGCTTAATCACCAAGACAAAAGACAAAAATCGCTTAAGTTGATATCTCGATCGCTTAAGCGATCATGCACCGGGAGATTTGATTCTGCCAATCACACGATCGCTTAAGCAATCCACGTCGCTTAATCAACCAAGTGAAAAAGAAAAGAATCGTTTAAGCGATATCTACGATCACTTAAGCGACCCTGTGTAAACAAGTTCCTTTTAGTACGATCGTTACTCGACCAACGAAAGATTTAAAAATTTAACAAATACACCCCCACCTACCTAACTTCCCAAATTTCGGCCACCCCCGCTAGAATCCTACTGGGACACAGGCGTTACAACGCATAGCAATCGGATCAGGCTGATAGCGTTGATTGTGCCTTTTCCAGCCAGATCAACCACGGATGTGGCCAAAAAGGCCAGATCTGGCCGCGATGGACGAAAGTCGACATCTACCGTCTGCGATGGCCAAAATATTGCGTCCATTTTCGGTCAATGATGCCCAAGATTTGCCATCGTTGACCATCAACGTCGGCCATTTCTTTTGAAAGTCGATTACGGCCCGATATGGCCTTTTCCGACCAGATCCATTCCAGATCCATAATGGATTTGGCAAAAATGTCACATATGTGAATTACTAGTCATTGCCAGTCGTTTGTAGCCGTCGTGGTGTCGGAATCTAGGAAGTTAGGTGGGTGGGGGTTTTTTGTTACTTTTTAACTTTTTAGGCGGTATTAATTAATTCAATTAATGGGTCTAAAATTTATTAAAAAAATACTAATATTTCCTAAATAATTAAACAAGAAATTTATGGAATAGGATTTATAATATTATAGGAATATTCACCAAACGCCACCCTTTATGTTCTGAACAAAGAAGAATCGTAAACCCTATATGTTTAGCATAGACGTAAACATTCAACACCTTATATGTTCATACTGACGTAAAAGAACTGTATGTTTAATATAAATATAGTAACGTCTAGTCCACATGAACGAATCGTAACCCTACATGTTTAGCATAGACGTAAACATTCACACCTTATATGTTCATACTGACTTAAAAGAATTATATGTTTAATATAAATATAATACGGTCATAGTCCACTGAACGAATCTTAATCCCTATATGTTTAGCATAGACGTAAACATTTAACACTTTATATGTTTCATACTGACGTGAAATAACTATATGTTTAATATAAATATAATAACGGTCATAATCCACTGAACGAATCGTAAACCCTATATGTTTAGCATAGACATAACATTCAACACCTTATATATTTATACTGACGTAAAAGAACTATATTTTTAATATAATAATAACGTCATAGTCCACTGACGAATCATAAAACCTACATGTTTAGCATAGACGTAAACATTCAACACGTTATATGTTTCATACTGACGTAAAAGAACTATATGTTTAATATAAATATAATAACGGTCATAGTCCACTAAACGAATCGCAAACCCTATATGTTTAGCATAGACGTAAACATTCTACACCTTATATGTTTCAACTGAAGTAAAGAACTATATGTTTAATATAAAAATAATACGGTCATAGTCCACTGAACGAATCGTAAACCCTATATGTTTAGCATAGCGTTAATCACTAAACCGATGCTCTAAAATACAATAAATAATATCCAATACATAGGAACACTTAAGCGATCCTCTGTATTTACACAGTCGTTAAGAGATCCGTCTGTATCGCTTAAGCGATTCTTTGCTTTACTCCTGGTTGCTTAAGCGATCGGTAATCGTTTAAGCGTCTAGCTCGCGGCAGATGCCTTGATCGAAAATCACTTAAGCTATCCATTTGTATCGCTTAAGCGATTTTCGTAAAACACTCTTGATCGCTTAAGCGATCTCAAATCGCTTAAGCGAATTAGCCAAGGCGAATGAATCTGCCCAGATCTATGATCACTTAAGCGATCTTGGCAAGGCAGAATGAATATCTGCCCAGATCTATGATCGCTTAGTGATCGTAGTATCGCTTAAGCGATGCTTCCTAAACGAGTCTTTGTCGTTTAAGCGATTTAGAATTGCTTAAGCGATCTTGTCAAGCAGAATAAACATCTACCCAGATGGGTAATCGCTTAGCGACTGATGTATCGCTTAAGAGATGTTCGTAATAGACTCTTATCGCTTAAGTGATTTGAGATCGCTTAACGACCATATCTAGAAAAGTCTTGGTCATTTGGAAAACATTTGTACATTACTCATTTCCCTCCCAAATCCGAAGAAGTTGTATCAATCAATTCATCACAAATCAAAATATAAGAGACATCAATGTAATCGAAACACAAATAAAAATAGCATGGATGCGGCAAATATCGAATATATGGACAAACTAACCATTAGCCCCACTTGGGTGAATCAAATA